AAAATAGTTCTTATTCCTCCACCTCCCGGCATAGCTCCTCCCAGTTCCACCCACTCCAGTGAAGCTCCTCCCGCCGTACCTTTTCATCCATCTGTTTTCGACAAGTGCGTTATTTCCACAGACGAGGAAGAAGAATAATAAAAAACACATGCAAATGTATACATCTTAAAGAAGTCTACTGTACTTTTGGTCAAAGAAAGTTATGACATGAAAAACAATGCTAAGTATAGCAAAGCAATGTTGACTATCGACCGTATAGAAGAAAATTCCAAAATTTGTATTCATCCACAATCTTGATTTGACCAACTCAGAACTTTAAAAAAGAAAACAACAAGCAAGAAAACAACCAACTTCAGAGAGCACCAAGGACCCCTCAGAAGATACATAGGACCAAAAAAAAAAAAAAAATGGAACAAGGGGAAATGAAAAAACGGCCGTCTTCAAGTTTCACTTTGGGAAAACCTAGTTTTGTGAAATATTACACATAACGTTAAAATAAAAACCTCATAAGCATAGACTGGATATTCAAATTAAGGTAAACCAAGTCAATAAAAATTTAGAGCTTTTTCAAAGAAAAATGTTTTGTGAGACACAACATCACTGAGGTCACATTGACATACACCCATCAATGGGGTCAAAGTTGTCCTTGTTTAGTTTTATTTATTAGTGCAGCTTACCCTACCACCTCAGTAGTCTTCACAGCCTCTAAGGTTAAGTCTTGTCAGCTTGTGGAATTCCTTGCTACAAGGTAAAAACAATCAAGATTGGAGTTTATTTTTTTAACCAGACAAAATCACAGAAAAGAAAGGGTTAATTGTGAGCGAGCAAATTGTGTTTAGAGACTGTTCAGCTTTCAAAGCAAAATACTGTGGACCCCGATACCAAGGGATGGTGGAGAACTTTAGTGCAGCGTGGAGGATCTGCCTGGCAGTTTTTAAAAATAAAGACTTTTCCATTACAGTATTTGAGCATTTGCTCTGACTCATCTTAGATCTTCTTATGCCTTCTTAACTAAAGAGAACATCCATTGTTAGACACTGACTATTTTTTAGGAACAAGGTGCAGGGATTAAGCGGTAGAGCAGTGTTTCTCAAGCTTGGCAACTTTTAAGATATGTGGGCTTCAATTCCCAGAATTCCCAGCAGCCAAGCTGCCTGGGGAATTCTGGAAATTAAAGTCCACGCATCTTAAAGTTGCCAAGCGTGAGAAACCCTGCTTTACATTCTCCACTTTGAAATCCCTTTTCACTCTCCCCTTCCCCAAACAGTATTTAGCCTACTTGAGGGATCTACCATGCTACCTGGGGGTTTCTGGGAGTTGAAGTCCATGAATGTTCAAGTTGGCAAGGTTGAGAAACATTGGAACAGGGGAAGGCTGAACCTCTGAACTTTAGGTGTTAGTTACAGAGCAGATTAATATTACTGCTGAGAGCAGCTAATAGGAGTTTATCCTCTTTTGTGGGCATTCTCAAGTCATTACAGAATCCTATTTAAATGCATTCAGAATCCAATCCTTACATCCTCATTTCTTCTCACTAGGCCTCTATTGGAGGATAGCAGCCTATAGCTAGGAAGTACTGGGTGTGATGTCCCTTGTGATGTCATTCTGCAAAACATATCGTGACATCATGTGTCACTGTGATTAATACTTTATATCTATGGGCTGTTGTCTAGGATTGGGATGGTGGTGGTGGTGGTGGTTCAAAAATATCAAGATGGCAGCTTTGGACCAGCTTTAATATGCAGGTTGCAGAAATCATGTTGATGGTTTTGAACCACCCACCCTGCAAATAACCCTGGGCTTCATCTTTGATAAGATAGTACCTGTCTAAGAAATTGGACCCAACAAATGGCTTCACATATTGTCCTAGGCCAGGGGTGTCAAACTCGCAACGTCACGTGACGTGTCGAGACGTATCGTGACTTTTTTTCCATTGCCGGCAATGGGGTGGGTGTGGTTTTGCCATGACGCATCCGGCCCGCCAGCCGGCAATTTGAAACCCCTGTCCTAGGCCATGGTTTTATGGCAGTCTTCCCCAATCTGATGCCCTACCATGATGTTAGTCTAATTCTCCCAATCTCCAGCTAGCACACTAGCTAATAATTCTAGACTATAGTTGACCATTTCTGGAGATCCACAGGTTGGGAATGTCTGATTCAAGGTCTCAATTCCAATTAGTTTCAACCATGCATCAAGATACAAACCATGATTTACACACCATCATGGACGGATTCACATAATGTGCTAAGCCAGTACCAAATACACCCCATTATGAGTTGATGTAATATATGAATGGGCAGTGTCTAGGACAGGGGTTGGGAACTATGGTCCTTTTATGACCTATGGACTTCAACTGCCAGAATTCCTGAGCCAGCTGGGAGTTGAGGTCCGCAGGTCGTAAAGTTGCCATAGTTGCCCACACCTGCATAAGACCTCCATTTTTAAATTGCTGGGGAGAGGAAAGAGGGGAGACAGTTCTGAGTGGTTGTGGTTCCCCACCTATGGTCTGGGAGCTTTTGAATGGGAATGTATGATCCTGTAACAGAAAGAGCAATTGCATAGGCCAGGAGTGTTGAACTTGCTGCATCACATGACGTGTGTCGTGACATATTGTGACTTTTTCCCCCTTGCTGGAGTTGGGATGAGCATGACGCATCTGGCCCCTGGGCCAGCAATTTGACACCCCTGGCATAGGCAATCAGTATGTGTTTTCCTATGCAGTATTATAATGGGAGGTTCACTCAATAATCATCAAATCTCTCAGAATAAGACAGTTTGATTGCCTGGGGGAATGGGGGAATATTTGTTTATTGTTGTTTTAAAAATATTCTAACAAATCTCAGCCCACGTCACAGGTGGAGAAAACTGGAGTATTAGGTATGTTCGTCACCTTGAGTTATTTATAAAAAATAGTAAGATGGGGTAAAATAAAAAAAATACAATTGATTCCTAATGATCTATGGACACACATTGGGGCGGTTTTCTTTGCAACAGTGTGGAAGAGCTTTGCCAGCATTTTCCTACAGAATGTTTTTTGCAATTTTAAAGCCAAGCCCTCAGCTCTGGCAGCCTCTTTTCCAACAGTGAAGAACGTCCAATTCTGCTTAGCATCAGATCTCAGAGAAGGACCCTGTCAGATGGCTAAAGCCCACTTCTTAAGATCAGTCAATTCCTCAAACTTAAGATGGTTCTATATTTTTGATGGGGAAGGGACAGATGCTGTGGGCTGCATATTTGCTGGATCACTAATGTGTTTTGCATGGGATTTTAATTGAATTGGACAGCTGTGCAAAGAGGTTTTCTCTTACAGAAAGAGGTAAGCAAGTTGGGGTGGAAATCGGAAGATGCACTCTAGACATTGGACAATGCTTATGTGGAATAACGTGTTCATATGACATGGCATGTCACCCAATACAATCAAATTATGGCACACGATGCTGGCATTCACATATTTAAAACAATGGCTGGGTCTTGCAACCTATTCACCCAGAAACTGGCAACTGATTTATCCCAAAATATTGAGGAAAACCAGTCATTCTCTCAGATTAGAGAAATGAACATATAATTATGTTGGGGTGGGTCTTAACATTATTGGAGCCTTACAAAACCAATTGGGACAATCATTCCTCTCTCTTCCACACTTCCAAGAATTGAGGGTGGTGGCTGTAATTCCTTGACTCTTTACAGGCCAGTCCTTGACTTACGACCACAATTTGCTAACCAAGGTGGTTGTTAAGTGAGTCCTGGCCAGATTTAGGACCTTTTGTGCCACAGTTCCTAAATGAATCACTGTTGTTAAATGAATCATGCAGGCATTAAGTGAATCCAGCTTCCCCCGTTGATTTTGCTTGTTGGAAGCTGTTTGGGGCAGTCACAAATGTGACCCCCATGACCCTGGGATGTTGCAACTATTGTAAATACATGCCAGTTGCCAAGCATCCAAATTTTGATCACGTGACTCTGGGGATGCTGCAACAGTTATAAGTGCAAGGGGCCGGTTGTAAGTCACTTTTTTTCACCACCCTTATAACTTCCCAGGGTCACAAAACAAATGAATATAAGTTGAGGACTACCTGAACAAAACTATGACCCAGACTGCCAAAAAGGGCAGCAAAATGCTGGCGGAGGGGGGCGGGTGTCCTAATTTCTCCCATCTGAAGTTTGCCTGGAATTTAGTCTTAAGCAATATCCACTCAACATCCCTCCTTTTTCACTTTCCCCAGAAATATTTGGGCGTACGGAGTTTTGTTGTTTTTTTTTGTCGGCCGGTTGTTGAGTAAAATAAAGAAAAGGAAAATCCCATTGGGAAGATATTCAGTTTCTCATTCTTTTCCCCAACTACTTGGGATCGCCGAAAAAGAGCCTTGTGGGCAAAACCAGCCGTCCCTCCTTCACCACCCCCCCCCTCTTTTGGGGGCTTGTGCAGCTGGTAGTGATGGTGGCTGCTGCGGCGGAAGGATACGCCAGAGAAGGAGGGGGAAGGTCTTGATGCGAGTGTCTGTATGTGTGTGTGTGTGTGTGCGCGCGCGCGCGCGTGTGTGTGCGTGCATGTGTGTGTGTGGATGTGTGGAAGCAAAGGAGGAGGAGAAGGCGGCGAAGGAGAAGGGGGCGCCCGTCCGCTGCCCCAGCGAGCGAGGGGGTTGAAAAACGCAGAGAGAGAAAGAAGCTCGGCGATCATGAGCCAGCGAAGCAAGCGCTAAGTGGGGTCCGCGGCCGGAGGATCAGAAGCACTTTTTATCTTCCCAGCGCGGATGGAACGTTGAAGAGGCCACATCAAAAGCTCCTGGCGGGGGGGGCAAAACACCCGATCGAACGTCGGGACAAACACTCGATCGAACGTCGGCGCGGCCGAACTCGCAGCCCGAGGGGCGCAGACAGACCGAACGTTCGGGGGGGGGGGAGCGCCTTTCTCCCGTCCTCTCTAATTTATTTTCCCACTCTCGCTTTTTTCTTTTCCTTTTCCTTTTTTTTTTATTTTTAATTTTTTTTTTTTTAAAAAAGCCTCCCTCCCTCGTTTTACTACATTGTAGCCATTTCCGTTTGCTTGGACATTGTTAAAGCTGCCTCCACCGTCTCCGTCGCCGCCGGGAGAACAATAGGAAGGCAGGAGGGGCGACCGGGGCGCCCACCCCGGCTGCGCCCCGGGAATCTTCAGCCATACTTGTGGATGTAACCCTCCCCCACCACAAAGCTGAGCAGGTAAGCCTGAGGAAGGGGGGGTGGGTGGGTGGGTGGGTTAAGCGACTGGGGGGGGAGGGCCTCTGCTTTTAATTTGGGGGGTTCGTTTGTGACTCCTCCCCCCTCCACGGAACTATTTTATTTTCGGAGGGGGCAGAGTTGACTTAAGTCTTGAGTCTTTTCTTCTCTTTCTGCGGATCCAACTTTGCTACTTTCCTCGGTTCTGTCCCTGACTTCGTAATGACTGTTACTCTCTTTCTCTCTCTCTCTGTTTATTATTATTTAGGTGTGTTTTTTCTTACTATTCTTCCCCCACACGCACGCACACTTGTCCTTTCTTTCTCTCTCTCCCCCCCCCCGGAAGTGGCATTAAACTTCATGGGGCGGGAAGTTAGCTGAAGCAAAAGGGGGGGGGGTCGATGAAGGAGGTCTACTGAACTCCTTTTGAGGGTCGGGTGAAAAAGGCAACAAGCTTTTTACTCTTTTGAGCTTTCCTTTAGACCTGCGGGGGAGTTCAGCTTGGGGGGTGGTGTAATAACCTAAAACAGAAGGGGGCTGTCTACCCCCCATTTTCGTGCCTCTGAAGTTTATTGTCCTTAAAGAAAGAAAACACTGGGAAGTGATGTCTTAATTTCCCGGCAAAGAGTACAGATGCTTCCTTTCAGTTGCAGTAGTTTGTTCATTTTAATGAACGGATCCAGAATTCACTCATAGGTACACACATGCACAAGAGCCCCCCCCCCCAACACACACACACACACACACAGATCTCCCCCTGTCTATGGGAAGTTTTATTTTACTTTGTCCAGCACCAAAACTTGGTGTGTCTATTATTTAGTGTGCAATTATCAAACAGTATGGATTCAAGAGGAAAGAGTCTAGAAGATGTTCTGGAGGGTGATTGTATTCCTGATTGTCCCATTTTTTTTGCAGACACACTTTTTAAAGAGTTTTTAATGTTCTTTCTTCACACTCTCACTCTGGGGAGAAAAGCACACACCAGTTTGACGTCAGTGATTACAGTATAGTCTCCCTTTTAAATCCCAGTCTGCCAATTCTTTCTCTTTCATCCCACTGCCCCCCCCTAATTTATAGTTTACCAGTATATGACCCTCTCTTGCTTAAAAACAAAACAAAACCCCAGCACAGGCTAATGAAAGTGAAAAGCTTTTAAAATGGGAACATATCACATTGGTGTCACTGCTTGACTGGATTATTCTTCAGCTTCCATTTACAAATTCCCCCCCCCCCCAAACAAACCTCCATCCCTTTTGTAACTAATATTTCTACAGGTTTGACTTACCAAACCCCATGTATGCCACCCTCTTCCCCACAATTATTGGATCTCCTGCACAAATGAAATTGGGAAAATACAAGGTTTAGGCCATGGATGAAATTAAGCAAAGCCTGGGATTAAATCCCTGCTTTATTTATTTATTTCAGCCTTTTGATTTTATTTAAGAAGGAGGTATGGTTCACACACACATCCCTTCCCCCTTCTCCCTTCAGCAATTTCCTTGGGAAGTTTGTATGGCAGCAATCTAGGCCTACTTTTAGAATCTCCCAGAGTTTAAGTGCAATCACTAAATTTTGGGAACTCTGTGGAGAGAATTCTTTCAGAGAACTTAATCTGTGGGCAAAACTGTTTCTTCTGACTTTGGTGTCATGTGTATAAAACAATTGTGTCCAGTTTAAATATTTGTTGTTGCTGTTTGCCAATCGAATGGACACAAACCTGGGTTTTTTAGTTTTTGAGAAAGATGACAAAGAGCTGCAAAGTTCTTGTGTAAACTTGAAATAATGCTGCAGATTCTGAGTGTTCCCTAGACCTTAAATAAAACAATTCATTAATTATGCTGAGTTGTACATAGATCTTCTACTTATCTGCCTAGTGTTTTCTTCAATCACTTGTTCCTGTATATAATATGTCTAAAATCTATAGGTTTATCTGTGTGGAATCATTCTATATACCTGTGTGTAATATTCTCGAAGCAACACAATATATTAATCTAATTGGCTGCTTTATTGTGGGCAAGTTGTTGATAGCTGTAAAATAAGTTAGGCCTCAATTACTGAAAGAGAAAAGGGAGACCCCCCAAGTCCGCCCTTAGATACAGCATTTATTCTCCAGTAATATGGGTGCTGCTGCATTTGAGGAGGGGGGTGATGAGGCCCCAGATGGCAGCTGCTTGCATATAAGAGATTCCTTGTCTGCTGCATTAAACCAAACTGGAAAGGGAGAAAACCTAATGTGAATCCTCCCCCCCCTTTCCCCAGTAGTTTAAAAAGAAATTGTAAAAAGCTCTGTGTGAGATGTCGGGAGTCTCTTTGAGCGTATTACAAACTTTTCTTTTTAATGCACAGGCAAGACCTCCCCCTCATATACACACACGCACACACTTTGCTTTGTGTTAGATTTGTTTTCCCCTGACTCTTCGCCTCCCCCCCCACACACACTCTCCGTTTTTTGATCTGTTTGCGACTGCATTAAGTTGCCTAAAGATGGAACACTTAGAAAGCAGAAGAGTTCTAGCAAATATCCATAAACCTGCCCGGACTTTGTTTAATTTTTTTTTTCTTTAAAAGTATGGTAATAGGGGAGGAGGAGGAGGAGGGGCCTGGGGGATGGGGGAGGGTCCGGGGGAGCTGGTTTGGAGTCTTTGTCCTGAAGGGGGAAAAAAAGTGTTCCGCTTCTAGTGAAAGGAACCCCAAATGAGTCAGGTTGAAGGGCAGCGGGAAGGGAGGGGGAACCGTTTGGAATCGGGGGGGGGGTGCAAGTTGGGGGACGCTCATCAGCTGGGGGAAAGCCACTTTCTCCGGCGGGACGGGGAAGGGAAAGATTTGAAGAAATATTTTGGGGAGGGGAAAACTCAACGCCACCGCGTTTCCTGCCTGAAGTCCAGCCGCTTTAAATTTGCCCTTGTGCTCTGTGCGTATCTTTGCCGGCGGAGAGCCGGGAGGGCACCAGCCAACTCGCGGGGTTGAACCCCCGGGCTCTCCTAGAATATCCGTGTCTGAAGAAGTGAGACCGGGTTCATCGGCCGGATCCAGGCGATTGCTCATGCCGAGAGCACGTGTCTGGGATACGACTGGCAAGTGCCCTCAGCGGAGGAGGGCTGAAATGCAGTTTAAGGGGGTGCTTTTTCTATCTTTCCCCCTCCCCCCCCCCAGACACATATGTGAATGGAGCAGGGAGAGATTTATTTTTGTAAAAAAAGGAAAACTTGATGATGTAGGGTTGCCAGGTGTCCACTATTTGAGCGGACAGTCCACTTTTTTCACATTATGTTCACTATTTTTTTTCACAAAATAGTGGACATTTTTTTTTATTCAAAAGCTTTATGGTGAAATGGTACGTAATCTAAAGCTGTACAGTCTACTTTTTTTTACTACTTAACACCCCCCCCCCCCCGCTTGTCCACTATTTTTTGGAAGCAGACCTGGCAACCCTATGATGAAGAGGTGGATTGGTAGGCACCAATGCTTTCTACCATCCTTCTCTGCTCCTCACCCCAGAGTGAGGAGAAATTCTAGGGATACCCCACAGCTTTTGGGTCATTTTTATTTCATCGCCACCATTCCTCCAGCGTGGCAGTCTGCTTTTTTTCCAGATTATCTTCATAATAGTCTTGTGAGGTAGGCTGAACTGAGAGGGAGAGAGAGGGAGAGAGAGACAGGCCCGGTGAGTTTTCCTCAGTGAGTTGAATCCAGGTCTTCAGGAGTGCAATCTGGCTTTCTGGGCGAATGATCAAAAAGTTTTGTTTTCCACCTTCGAATTTAGCCCTTATTACAAGGAGTTTCTGGAAACACGCTTAGCAACTTTCAGATAAAAAGTAATTGCCAGATAGTTTGCTGAAATTAAAGGCTCTATTGCACCATTACTCAATTGCCTTCACTAAGTTCATAGAGAAAGTGAGTGGGTGTGAGTCTTTCTTTTCCCTTCTAAATTATAGAGTAAACTGGATTTGCTGCACAGTCTCGTAACCTCATAGTATTCAGTGGGCCTCTCTGCCCATTACATGGCGTAGCCTGAAAGGTCTGGGTTACAATCCTAATTGTGCTTTGTGTGGAGTAAGGCCTGTTGGCAATCATGGAGCTTACTCTCAAGTAGACATATCTGAAGTTTCTACCCACCCACTCAAGCAAAACACATTTATCTGTCTATCAGCAAAGGTAAATATTGCTATTCCCCATATGTCTGTTACACAAGATTGACAATGAATATATAAGGCATAGTTAAGAGTACTTAGAGTACTTGGATATTCTACTTCATTATTATTCTATTCTATTTTGATTTGCATGGGGCAATGGGGCCTGGGGGCATGTAGAAAAGGAAGAGACCTAGTAAAGGAATCTCAAGAAAACAGAGCAATTGGTTGAGTTGTCAACCCCTGATTAGCATGTATTGTAGAAGGTGTGCTCTAGTACCGTAATTTGGGGCAAAACCACTAATGCATTTCTGGGGGGGGGGTATCTCCCATTTTCATCCAGCAGAAATAGGAGCATTGAAAAGGAGAGTGGAAATTGGTCTAGTGGTGAAGATGCCAGGCTAGAAACAGGAGATTATGAGTTCTAGTCCTCTCTCTCTCCTCTCTCTCTCTCCTCTCTCTCTCTCCTCTCTCTCTCTCTCCCTCCCTCCCTCCCCCCCTCTCCCCACCTTGTGTTATTTATAAAAATAAGAGAAGGATATCAATAAAGAATTGGGTGTATCTTTCCTTCCAAGTCTGTGATTCCATGTGAGCATAGGTGCACAAGTATCTTTCTTTTCACAAGCCTCAAAGAAATTAAGGATTCTAGTGTTTGTTTTGTGCCTTGACATGTCTCATTTGGGATCAAAGGCCTGTGTGGAAACTAAATCCCGCTTTCATGCTTAAGAAGTGCTAAGAAATCTTTCATTTGTCCTCTTGTCTAATTTGAACTCCTTTCTTTTTTTATAATGAATGGCTTGTACCATATCTTGTGGCAGAGAGTTATACATCCTTTTGTTTGTTCATGTCGTTGGTGGGTGACCATAAGCTCTAGTCTTATGAGGGGGATTTAAATAAAATATTACTTGTGGTAATAATTACGTGTTGCAATTCCTGAACCTTGAAGTTTCTCCGATCTGTAGCTTTTACCAACAAGCGAGATTAAATGTGAGGGCATTTCACATCACAGTGTGAAGTAATTTTTTTTTTCTTCTTCTGAAGACTGCAAATTTAAAGCTGTTATCTGGCTGCTTTCCTAGGCTGCATTCCCATTGATCAGATACACACAACCAGGACAACCTCCCTTCCCCCCAATGCTTTACAGCAGCCTTTCCTTGTTGACTGAGGATTGTGGACTTCGTTGTTGCATCTGGAGGTCCCTATATGCAAAAAAAAATATAAAAAAATTGTTCTGTGCTTAAAAGGGTTGCTTAAAACTGGGCCAGGTTTACTCTGCAGTAGATCCTACTGAGTTGTGTATTGTTTACTCACTTGCAAGTACAATAATTATCTGTGTTCTCACAGTGCAAGTATACACCTAGGCTCTTTCAACCCAGCAAGTAATTTGGGTCTTCATTTTGTAATTCTTGCACTGAGCAGGGGGCTGGATTTGATGATCTCTGGCCTCTTCCAAGCCAAGGAGCTCTGAGTAATTATGGGTTTGTTTTACACATTTGCATGCTACCCATTCCCAAATGATTCTGGGCAGTTTGCAAAAAGACAGACATTAAAAACCACACAGTCAGCAACATGGGGCAGGCAAAATTAACAAAGGCTCCCTGCCCCAAGGACACTACAGTCTATTTTTTTTTTATGTGGGGAGGATGAGGCTGGGAAGGATGGAGAGTGAGGTGGTGATCAAATGAAGCTGTTGATTTGAGAAAATTGTTGCTCATCAACACAACTAACTTTTCCTCAGATAAAGCAAAGTCTCTGTGTGCAAAAGATGGAATTTTTGTATTCACTGCTAACCTGAATTTTGGCACATAAGACATGCCATTTTTTGCATTTCTGCTCAAAAGTTCAAGCAGGTCAACAGAGTTTATTCTCAGGTTGGTGTACTACTGCAGTGTAATTGCCCTGTGGGGGTTGGATCACATGTTGATTTTTAGTTTTTAGAGCCAGTATCCAAAATTCAGATTTTAAGTATTTCCTACTGTGTCTTTTAAGGGTGCAGGAAATGAAACTCTTGGTTTATTATCTGCAAGAGCACAACAACTCTAGTCCTAATAAAAAAAAGAGAGGATTGTGATTGTGATTGATGGATTTGTAAATAGATGCAGCATTTGTATTAAGTGCAGAATTACTTTAGGAACCTTAAAAACAAAGGTCAGCAACTTTTCTAAGTATTAGTTCGGTAACTGGAGCAACAGGTGATCTGGAATAGAAAAGGCCATAACCTTTAGATTTCTGCTGCCTCCTCGTTCTTGCATTTATTAGAGATTTTTTCAATTTTTATTATTGGTTTTGAAGAGGCTCCAAGTCAAGAAATTGGCACTTAAATATACTGTGTGTGTGTGTGTGTGCGCGCACACATGCGTGCCTGTGTGTGCAAGAGAGAAAGAGTTTTAATTACTCGTTGCTTGCTAGAGAATTTTTTGCCCGGGAGGATTTATAATTCTGAGAAATAGTTGCATATTATATCTAGTATTGAATAACATGAGCTTTTTTTTTGAAGCGCTTCCATTCCATTAAAAAAATAATCTTTCTCTTCTCCACTTCTCCTATCCTGCTTCCTTTCTCCTCCGTGTCACCCCCTCCCTCCCTCCCTGTTTTCTTTTTCTAAAAAAGACAGACACCATTTCAATCGGTGGGAATATGAACCAGCAACAAAGAATGGCTGCAGCAGGAACCGATAAAGAATTAAGCGACCTTCTAGATTTCAGTATGGTAAGTGAGACCGCTGGGAGTGGAGGCTTGGTAGGTCCCTGAATTTGGGGTTGTTTTGTGTGTGTGTGTGTGGGGGGGGAGAGATGTCTAAAAGAGCAGCAGGCTCCATTTTGTACCCGGCATGCTCTGGGCTGTAAGGGGAGGGGTTAAAGGAAACCCCTGGCAGCAGGGAGGGGGGGGGTTAACTGGGAGTCACAAACTGCAAGCTTCGACTTGTTTGTTCTCTGTACTTAAGAGTGTCAAGGGGGACCACTAATTGCATAGTCTCCTTGTTGTGAAGGCTTAAGTGAGGTACAGTAGTTGGCCTGATGGGAAGAAAACAAATCAGTCGGATGTCTTCTTCTTCCACCTTTAAAAATTCTCCCCCAACAGATAAAAGTGCAAGGTTCTCCTAAACCGTGCAAAATACTATCATTAATCCTGGATTCGTCCTGAGTCTGCCTATCTCGGGCTCTTTTCTGGCCAAGCCCGGAATTTTAATTGGTGTTTATTGTAGTGGGAAATAAGTTCTGCTGGCTGAATTTCTGGCAAATGATCTGAAATGGCCAGAGAAAGCAGCATTGGCTTGATGAGTAGGGACGTTTGCCTGAAGCAGGAGTTTAGAGGGACGTGTCAGAGAACAAGCAAAGATCAGAAATCGGTGCTGTTCTGGGGTTCCCTCCCGCCCCAATGTTTTTTTAATTCTTCCAGAGGGGGTATATGTTGATTGGGTTGGTTTCTCTTTGCATCTTTCTATGCTTGTATTGACCCCAAATGTCCCAGACCAAGCGCCAAGGACCTGAGAAAATATTTCTTTGTTCTGGATGAGTGTTTTTCAAAACTTGGCAAGTTTAAGATGTGCGGACTTCAACTCCCAGAATTCCCCAGCCAGCTATGCTGGCTGAGGAATTCTGGGAGTTGAAGTCCACACATCTTAAAGTTTAAGGAACACTGCATTAGATTCTCATGACCATTGGCTCAATATTTTACTGGATGTTCTACCAGTGCCTCCCAGCAGGACCACCAACCACCTCTCTCCCTTTCTTCTCAATGCTTTTTTGAGCCTCCACTGACAGGAGTAGATGCAGTTGGGAAGCTGTCATTCAAACTGTACTTCAAAGGGTGGGAGACCTTGGCTTTTTAAGATAAGAGCCCTTTTAAGATAAGAGGCTCTTTGGAAGGAAGCTGGCAGAGGCTCCCCACACCGTGGAGGGAGATAAAGAGATACACTGCAGAGCAGAGGATGACTAGGGGCGATCCTTGCTCTTTTCGTGGCTTGTTTCTGGCTTGTTCAAACGGGGGACATCCTGGCTCTGCAGCAGTGTCCCTTCCGCCCACGTTATGTGGTTCGTTCCCCAATATTTTGTGGCTCATGGGAAGAGCAATGGGTAGACTGTGTATCTTTTGCTCTGGTTAATTCCCTTTGCTCTGTTAATGATTGGTTAATATTTTCTTCTGGTCATGAACGTTTGGGGGCGTCATGCAAATGATCACTGAGGGTTGCTGGAAAGTCTAGTTGTTGTTTTTTTCACTCGGGTGATTGTTCCACATTGGCAGGATAAGGTTTCTTCTTAAAAGGAGCTGCCATCTTCTTTGTAGCTCATTCTTTTCCCCCAGGTTTCTCTTCCTCTAATTTTTTTTATTTATTTATATCCTGCCTTTATTATTTTTATAAATAAGGCAATGAACATATCCACATGCCTGCCTCCTCCTGTTTTTCCCACAACAACTCCTCTGTGAGGTGGATTGGGCTGAGAGAGAATGGCTGGCCCAAAGTGACCCAGCCAGCTTTCATGATTAAGGTGGGATTTGAATTCATAGTCTCCCGCTTTCTAACCTGGTGCCTTAACCACTAGACCAGGGATCTTCAAACTTGGCCCTTTTATGACTTGTGGACTTCAACTACCAGAATTCCTCAGCCAGGTATGCTTGGCTGAGGAATTCTGGGAGTTGAAGTCCACAAGTCATAAAAGGGCCAAGTTTGAAGACCCCTGCACTAGACCAAACTGGCACCCTAATTCTTATTCTTTGCAAATCCATTTCAAGCCCCTTAACGTGGTGGTGGGAGTACGCATTTTCAGGGTCTTTTGAATTAACTATATTTCCTACATTAATGTAGAGACTCAATGTGGCATTGTAATTAAAAGCTAGAAGCTGGGAGACAGTGAGTTCTAATCTTGCCTTAGACACAGCAGGGAGATCTGGTGCCAGCCAGTATTTCTCAACCCTAGGAAGCAGGCAGTGGCAAACCACTTCTGAAAACTTGCCAGAAAACTGTAGGAACTTGTCTATGTAGTCAATAGGAGTCAAGACTGCTTCGAAGATACAGGTAGTCCTCGACCTATGACTACAATTGAGCCCCCAAATTTTGTTGCCAAGTAAGATGTTTGTTAAGTGAGTTTTGCCCCATTTTATGACTTTTCTTGCCACACTTATTAAGTGAATCACTGCAGCTGTTAAAGTTAGTAGCACAGTTGTTAAGTGAATCTGGCTCCTCCATTGACTTTGCTTGTCAGAAGAAGGCTGCAAAAGGGGATCACATGATCCAGGGACACTGCCACCGTCATAAATATGAGACAGTTGCCAAGCACCCAAATTTTGATCATGGGGATGCTGCAAAGGTTGTAACTGTGAAAAACGGTCATAAGTCACATTTTTCAGTGCTGTTGTAACTTTGAACGGTCACTAAATGAACTGTTGTAAGTTGAGGACTACCCGCACCTAGATATGCAATACATGCACACACATTAGTGCAAGAATGTTTGTGAGGACCAATCTAGGTTCAGGATTTAGAAACAATCTAGAGGCTCTCCATCTTCAAGATGTATAAGTCTGAAATTTGGACTACCCCTCACTGTGCAGCTGGCTAGTTCAGGAATTCTGGGAGTTGAAGTCCACAAGTCATAAAAGAGCCATCATTCCCACCCTTGAGCTAAGGGCTCAATTAGTATATGCAGAAGGGGAGGTAGTCCTGTACGTTCTCACTAGAATATTGTTACATTTCCCTTACTTAGGATTCCTACAGGGCTTGAACTAAAATTTTCATCACATGTCTTTTGGATCAGCCCTAAACTCTATAGCCCATCTTCTTCATAGCACGCTCTCTGAGGGTACCTCTGCTAAAATGGTCCTGCCTCTGGGCAACCACTGCCCCGACACGAGGCCCATCCAGACAATTCCCAGAAAAAAGCATTCCCATTGAAGAGAAGAAAGAACTCAACTTATCTTTTAGAGAGGATGGCTCCCTTAGAGCAGGGGTCCCCAACCCCCGGTACTGGGCCGGGGTATGCCAGAAAGCGGTCCACGCATACAAGCGAAGCTCCATCCGTGGGATGCAGGCAGCACGCGAAACCACGATCCCTCCAGTCCATGGAAAAACCTGGAACCGGTCCCTGGTGCCCAAAAGGTTGGGGGGGGCACTGATCTAGCTGGTCTTCAGAAGAACTCTGCCTGGTGAATCTGAGCTGGGTTTGAAATAACCCAATTAGGCTGAAGCGCTCGTGTGTTTTGTGAGAAAAATCAGTTCTTAGAAGAGTGGAATCGATTAAATCAAGTAGAGATATATATAGAGAGACCATTGTTTGTTCTCAATAGCAATAGTTAGCAATAGGGCCTAGACCAGGGGTAGACAACCTTGGCTCTTTTATGACTCGTGGACTTCAACAACCAGAATTCATGAGCCAGCATGGCTCAGGAATTCTGGGAGTTGAAGTCCACGAGTCATAAAAGAGCCAAGGTTGCCTATCCCTGGCCTAGACTTATACACTGCTCCACACTGCTTTACAGCAGGGGTCCCAAATCCCCGATCCGTGGACTGGCAGTGGGCTGCGGCATGCCAAAAACTGGTCTGTGCAAACAAGCAAAGCCCCATCCGTGGGATGCAGGAAGTACATGAAACTACGCCCCCTCTGGTCCGCAGAAAAACCTCTCTCCACGGAAACGGTCCCTGGTGCTCAAAAGGTTGGGACCTCTGCCTTAAAGCAACTGTATGAAATGCTGGATGCTGGAAAACAAAAACAGGCTAGGGTGGCTGCATTCTTGCACTCTCGCAACCTATAAAGAAAAAAACGTCGGGAACTCCCTGTTAGTGACCCCAACACCTACAGGTATTCCTTGACTTATGACCACAACTGAGCCCAGAATTTATGTTGCTAAGTGAAAAATTTATTAAGTGAGCTTTGCTCCATTTTACAACTTTTCTTGCCACATTTGTTAAGCGAATCACAGCAGTTGTTACATTAGTCACGCAGTTGTTAAGTGAATCTGACTTCCCCATTGACTTTGCTTGTCAGAAGGTCACAGAAGGTGATCACATGACCTTGGGATACTGCAACCGTTATAAATATGAACCAGTTGCCAAGCTTCTGAATTATGTGACCGTGGAGATACTGCAACAGTCATAAATGTGAAAAATGATCATAAGCCACTTTTTTCAATGCCGTTGTAACTTTGAACGGTCACTAAATGAACTGTTGTAAGTTGAGGACTACCTGTATTACACAGAAAGGTCTAATTAGTGTCCTTTGGTCCTTCACCATAGCTATCCTGGACTGAATACAATTTAGTGTGACCAAGCAGAGGTGATCTATCCTAAAACTAACGTGCCACAGAAAAGGCCACCTGGCCTGTTAATTTTTTGCATGCAAGTATCTCAATATTGCATATCATGGTTTGCATTGAACACAGTCACATCCCCTGCAATTTCCTGGGCTGGAAAAATCTTACCTGGAAGATCTGTTACTGACAGCGAGACCATCTTGCTTGGCTTTATGTATCTTTCTAGAATTTTTTTTTTTCAACTGAAGGAACGTTCAGCTCTGTGAGATATCTCTAAAGTGGTTCACTCTAGTTAGACGTTGGCCATCTCTGCAGGAACTAACCTCAATTCCCACAAAGTTTTTCCAGAGCCCTAGCCCAAGGGTAGGCAACCTTGGCTCTTTTATGACTTGTGGACTTCAACTCCCAGAATTCCTGAGCCAGCCATGCTGAGGGGAAAGGGAGAGGTTTCCAAGCTGAGCCATGTTGGCTCAGGAATTCTGGGAGTTGAAGTCCACGAGTCATAAAAGAGCCAAGGTTGCCTACCCCTGCCCTAGCCAATCCTTTCTCTGGACTGAGGCTATATCTTAGAATAGGATCCATTCTTCTTTACAAGTGACCAAATTTTTACCGGCAGAGGAGCACCTAGGACAGGGGTCTTCAAACCTGGCCCTTTTATGACTCATGGACTTCAACTCCCAGAATTCCTCAGCCAGCGTGCCTGGCTGAGAAATTCTGGGAGTTGAAATTCATGAGTCATAAAAGGGCCAAGTTTGAAAACCCCTGACCTAGGAAGTTAGGTGGCTTGATGAAGGCTCAGTGATGAATACAAACCTTATTGGAACTGGATCAAAAACCAGAAATTGATAGCCTTGCAACATAGTAGTACTGGGAAGCCAGTAATTGGATAAACAGATGTATCTAAGTAGTTCTTTGGGCATTTTGATAGTGTTAACCATCTTACTTGAAAGCAAGCAATAGCAGATACATGATTGCTATTATAATAGCTGGCACTTGAAAACATACCCTGCTTTTAATATGTGTTATCAGTTAGATACAATTTTGCATATGTGATTTTATAAACGGGTCTCATTTGAAGCCTTCCCAGTATTGGATTGATGGATATTTTCACAGGCTTTCCTGTAGGGTACAAGCAGGAAGATTTTTATTTGGAAGGAAACTTCCAGCTGGAGTGATACTGTGTATGTGCATTGAGCAAGGGTAAAATAAGCAGTTGGAGTGATAAATGTGGGAGATCTTTCCCCTTTTATGAATTTTTTTTTTTGCCTCGTGCAAATGTTTTTGAACTGGTCTGAGGTTTAATCTGCCTTCCTTCCTTCCTTTCCCTCTTGGCCCGAAAAAGAACATTTCCCAGACAGATGGGATTAATTTTGTCATGTTCGGCAGGTCACTGCAAGTGCTGCCTGTTTTACTGTTTTGCTATTGTTCTTAAAGATTTGGCGTTTGTTATCTTACAGCCTGTCACATTTGAAGGGTGAGCAGGAAATAGAGCTCCCAAGGATCTGGTGGGGGTGGGGCTATGCAAATAAGGTCTAGATGGGTATTTGGTGTTTTTTTTAAATCCATATGTTTAGTGTTAAAATGTTGAAATTCAAAAAAAAAGTTTAAAAAAGCAAGATGATTAAAAAAAAAAGACTATTGCTTTTGAATTAAAATGGAGCAGTATAGTATTTGTTAGCGCCAGTTGCTTCTAGTTTGTGCCTGGGTGTTAAGTGAAGAATCCCTGTCTTCTATTTCTAAATAAAAGCTAAGAGGCTTTTAGTCAATTCACTTTATAGGCTATTTTTTTTAAAAAAAAGCAAGAAACATCTTTCCTTTGTTTTATACATGCAGCACGTATATATTGCAGCCATCGCTCTCTAAAAAGAGCATTCTCACTTGTCTCACACTAAAAAAAAATGATAAAATTGTCCATATTTCCCATTCCTTAGAATATACCTGTCAAACAAAAGAAGCATTCCATTTTTGGGAAGCAGAAAAGAAAAGGATCAGAGGAGGCATTTTCTTTGGGACCCACGGAAGAGAATATTTGTGGCTCAGAGCTGAACTGTGGAGTCCTTGGTACTACTGTCTGAGCTTAGTAGTTTTCTTACAGACATTTCATTACCCAACTAGGTAATGTCTTCAGTGCTACTGATGTTACCTAGTTGGGCAATGAAAGTACCCAACAATCTCCAAAAAGCATCACTTTTTCTGTGATGCTGTGCTGGACCAGGCCAGGAATGCCTCTTAAGAGCGGGCCTGACAACTTGCATTTCACTGGTAATACTCCAATTGAAAATTTGAAAAATGCTTTGTAGCCTAATTTGACGATCTACGGCAGGGGTGCCAAACTGCTGGCCCGCGGGCCAGTTGCATCATGCAGAGGCCCTACCCACCCCAGCTCCAGCAATGCAAAAACAAGTTGCAATATGTCGTGACACATCACGTGGTGCAAGTTTGACACCCGTGATCTATGGAGATTCTCATTCATCCCAGGTCATTGTTATCCCAATGGTGCTTTTTCACGAGGCAACTGGACTTCCTTGTTATTACAAGAAAGTCCAGTTGCCTTGTGAAAAAGCACCTTTGGGATACCTAATTTGAATTGATTGCAGGTAGTCCTCAACTTATGACCATTTGTTTAGCAATGGTTCAGAATTGCAACAGCCCTGAAAAAAGTGACTTATAACCGGTCCTCACTCTTAATAATCATTATAGCATCTCTATGGTCCTATGATCAGAATTTGGATGCTTATTAACCAGCATTTATAACAGTTGCAGTGTCCCAGGGTCATGTGATCACCATCTGTGACCTTTCCAGCTGACTTCTAACGAAGTGAATGGGGAAAGCCAAATTCACTTAATGACAATGTAATTTACTTAACAACTGCAGTGATTCACTTAACAATCATGGCAAAAAGATCATAAAATTGGGTGCAACTCACAACAACAATCACCTTGCTTAGCAATAGAAATCCTGGTCCTAATTGTAAGCATAGGTGGAAGACTACCTATAAACATTTTTAATTGGAACCAGTTGATTGAACAACTGTAGTCTTATTCTAAGTTTGTCTTTAGCAGTTGACTGGATCAGAGTTAACCCCCAAAGTTGCTAGTTTCTGACCCTTAATGTAGGTGGTGGAAAGCATGCAGTTAAGAATTATGATTATAGCATATGAAGAACAGTTGCGGGAATCGGGTATGCCTAGATTAATGAAAAGAAGGACTAGGGATGATATAATAGCAGTCTTTCAATATCTAAGGCAGGGGTCTTCAAACTTGGCCCTTTTATGACTCATGGACTTCAACTCCCAGAATTCCTCAGCCTGGCTGAGGAATTCTGGGAGTTGAAGTCCATGAGTCATAAAAGGGATGAGTTTGAAGACCCCTGATCTAAAGGGTTGCCACAAAGAAGAGGGAGTCAACCTATTCTCCAAAGCACCTGAAGGCAGGACAAGAAGCAACGGATGGAAACTAATCGATGAGAGAAGCAACCTAGAACTAAGGAGAAATTTCCTGACAGTGAGAACAATTAATCAGTGGAACAACCTGCCTCCAGAAGCTGTGAATGCTCCAACCCTGGAAGTTTTTAAGAAGAGACTGGACATGCATTTGTCTTAAACGGTGTAGGGTTTCCTGCTTGAGCAGGAGGTTGTACTAGAAGACCTCCAAGGTCCCTTCCAACTCTGTTATTCTGTTAATTATCTTTAGCTCAGTTCCTGGCATCTCCACATAAAAGTGTTAAAATTGCTGAAGGCATTTTCCTCTGGTAGGATATTGACTTTTGGCTGTCTTAGAGAAGACAGAATAGTTGGGCTCACACAACATGCTCTCCCCTAACCCAGCTTAATAAAATAAAGTGCCATTTCTATGTTCCCATAACATATTATGTTGGAAATAAAAATCCATATATGGACTAAATTGATATCCTGGTTTGAACCTGTTGAGCCAGAGACTACTCACCCCCCTTTCTAACCTAGTTAGATATGTTATGTGAATCCAGTCTGTGGTCCTTCCAGATGTTTCCAGACTGCAACTCATACTATCTCTGATCATTGGCCAGACTGGCTCAAAATAGAGGAATGGAAATTACAGCTGGATAGACCCAGAATGCCAAATGGAGATAAGCCAGTGGCCTGATCCTTCACTAGGCAGTTGCATATATATATATGTCCTTCAGGAGCATTCTTCATTCAACCAAGACTGTGGAGTGACCCTCAGGTTGATCAGCCTTCCCCAGTTTGACGCCTTCCAGATGTGCTGGGTTTCCTCCTGACACATCTGGAGGATACCAGGCAGTACTGTTGTCTACCAACTCTGGCTTGTGGGGACCATTCAGTTATTTTCTAGAAGGGGGACTTCTCTGTTCAGTCTTTGGCGGGACATCAAATATGGCAGGGCATCAAATATGGGCATCAATATAAGGCTGTGTGGGAAGAGAAGTGAACTCTCCCCCCCTCTCTCTGATGGAAGTTAGAGACTGTTGGTCCTTCCACCCTCTTCCCACTACTCGGGCTAATCTGCCCCTTACCTGCTCAGGAACTGGTTGTTGCTTCATTTAGATAACACCCCTGATAACAGGTTGGGGAAAGCTTCCACCTGTCCTCTGGGGAAGGACAAAATCTACCTTGTACTTTTTGGGAGGGTTCCTAAGTGAACATAAGTGAGATCTTTTAGAAATGCAGTTTTAAGGAAATAGAAATGCATTTCTAACTGTTCCATCTACGTTCATTTTAAGAATCTACTTCTTTGACTCTTACGGGATCAGGCTGCTTCATCTGTGAAATGCAACCCCCAGAGATGGTTAACTGGCCCTTCCGTTATGGAATTTGTGATGGCCGATTGAAGATGTTTTCATTTCCTAGGAATTTGAGGAACTATTTCAGAATACTAGAACATTAGGGCTTTCCTTGCTGCTTTATTCTGATTTTTTTATGCTGTAATTTATTGCCTTGATTATTACCGCTTCTGATTTTTATCTTACCATTGCAACGCTCTCTGGGTGGGTTTTCCTATTGTTTGCATAGTAGTTTTTAAATAGCAAACAGATCCAAGATAGGCAGCCCAATAATTTAACCCTGCAGAAGATTTACTGTCTATCCAGCGATTGCAAAAAAAACGGCAACAGTTTTTGCAAATAGTTTGAAGAGCTCACTGATCAAATATGACAGCTTTGTTTCATTTTGGATCTTGGCTAGATAACTAAATCTGTGGCGTTACCTCTCAGAATGTTTTTAATTGCTGCATTATTTCCCTTTCTCCCCACACCCATGTTCTCCGATGTTTAATCTTGTTATTGTTTGCTTTCTTTTTTCTAGATGTTTCCCTTGCCAGTGACTAATGGAAAAAACAGACCCACGACTCTCGGTAGCACGCAGTTTGGTGGATCAGGTATTGCTTAACTTTCTCTTCCCTTTGGGGAAAAAAGGCCCAAGCTCTTTGATATAGATGTAACATGTTTTCTGATATTGAGACTATGGTTAACAATCTGGCCCCAGGGACTTAATACCTCCTTTCCCCAGTTTTAAACACCACTTTTTTTGTTTTTGCTTTTTTGTTTGCCTTGATCTCATCTGCAGGGTTGTTCACATAAAAGATGATCTGGGGCAGGGATTTAAGGAATAAAATAACATCCTGGTATTTTGATTGTGCTATGGTTTTTTTAAAAAAAATGTGGGCTTTTTTTGAAAATGCACTTCTTTATGCCCTAAAAATGCACTGATGCTGTTACCTAGTTTGGGTAATGAAACGTCTGCAAGAAAAAAAAAACCAAGCTCAGAGAGCACCAAGGACCCCTCATTTCAACCCTGAGCTATTCTCCTTTATTGGCACTTATTTATTTAGCGGTTCATATTTTATAAGCTAATTGATGTGTTCGTTTTTGTTGTTGTTTTTTAAAAGAAAGTCTGAACCCTTAAGTAAGTGTTTTTTTAATTCTGCCAGGGGAATACTGGGAGTTGAAGTCCACACAAAGTTGCCAAGATTGAAAAACACTGATTTAAGCAATTAAAGGGTCTGCCTGGGCAGGGGGTTGGGCTAGATGACCTCCAAGGTCCCTTCCAACTTTATTATTATTATTATTATTATTATTATTATTATTATTATTATTATTATTATTATTATTATTATTATTATTATTATTATTATTATTATTATTATTATTATTATTATTATCTCTCAGTGTTGTATATGGTACTTCTGGAATTGTCAGGTTCCTTCGAGAAACGAGAGTGCCACAACTTTCAACCCCGGCCTCCTAGCCAGTGGCATAGTCCCAAACACCTGGAAGGTCCCCTCCGGTGAATGAAAAGCCCAACAAAGTTGAAAATGAAGGGAAATTCCCACCCTTTTTTATTAATGGTATAAAGCTACAGAGTGCTCTCTTTTCTTCTTGGCCTGGTCCTTTAGCATGAAAGCAAAGAACTGAACTCCATTGTCACTGGGGATCACTTTGATTTGGGGCGTGTGTTCGAGAAAACTTTTTTTTTTTCTGCCAGCGGGCGATACAAGTTTGTGCAAGTGTTGAATGTTGAAGCTACAGGCGGTGAGAACAAAGCCAAATTCCCCGCCACATGTTCTGTGCCTGAAGGTTGTCGTGTCTGCTATGTTTTCCCCTTTGATGCTCTTTTTCACCAAAAAAATAAAAATAAAAATATGTTTCTAAATGAAGATACTTGCCACAGTTAACCCTTATGGGATATATTTGCTTGAGGGGTATTATTGTTGTTCTTTGGTTCCATACTTAAGGAATCTCTTATGGGTTTAGATCCATAAGTTTATCCTCCATCTCTGCCTGACTTTCATTCTCTAAGGCTGGAAGAAATCCACCACCTTTGTGTCAGCTCCTTTTGAGTCAGGCTGCCTGCTTTGTAATTAAAAGACGAGCTGGGTAAAATGACATGGACGCATTTAAAGCAAAGAGGGCAGGGCATGGGTCCACCTCAACCCCATAATGCCACAGTGATGAGCAGTCTTTCTAGGCCAGCATTTCTCAGCCTCATGCTGGCTGGGGGAATTCTGGGGGTTGCAGTCCAAGACATCTTTAAAGCTGCTGAGGTTAACTAAAACTGTTCTAGACTCTCTCAAACAGAGAGCTTCCTTTCCATCTCCTGTTGTTTCCTAATCTTTATAAACTGGAAGTGCCAAAGTCTTTTAAACTTAGGAAATTCTGCACTCAGACTTGCTGTTCCATCTCGGAGCAACTGTCTTTTTGATTTATCTCTGAGCGATACGCCCAACACTTACACCCATCCAAACATGTTCCCAGGATTTCCTATCAGTTCTGTGTGTGAATTCCAGAGACCAGAAGCGTCAATCAACCACTCAGATCAGTTGTGCGGCCTGTAAATTGGCCCGGGCCGGCTCTGCCCCATTATTCGGCGGTTTTAATTCACCAATTATTATGGTGTTTACTCCATCCTCCTCCTGCCACACCCACCAGCTACACCTTTGCGGATGCAAGAAATGCCAACAGCAACTATGGGATCTGCCATTCTGGAGAGAACAACACATTACAGACTTGGAAGGTTTTTTTTTTTCTCTCTTAAGCAACAAGACTAAAATTTTGTTGAACAAGCCATACCTAGGTTGGCAGAGCAAGGCCATCTTTGGTCTGCTGGATACACACATCACAAAAAACCCCAAACCAATAATTTTACATTATACTAGGAACCATGTCTGAGTGTTTACACACTCTGTCCCATGTACTTCTTTCTGCACTCTTCAGATGTTGCTTCAGAGTAGCTACAATTAATCACCTATAATATGGACACCTTGTTTAGATGCAGAAAAGTAAATTTGCAAAAATATCTATTTTTCTAGGATTTATTTATTCAATGCCCTGCCTTCGGGATCCTCCCATCATGCCCTCCCAACCTGGTAAGGATTAATAGGAGTTGTAATCCAACCACTCAAAAACTACATTCATGTCAATAAAGGAGTTATAGTTTTTACCAAATTCCACTATGAAGCCAGATGTCCTAGAATAAGTTAGCAAAGCCCAGCTCCCTCCCCGATTTTTCCTTTCTCTAATGCACTGATGGGGTGATGGATAAATTATAATCCCAGCTTAAGTTGATTTCATGCCAGTGTTCTTATGGGAAGTTTTGAACTGCTGCTTTAAGAGTTTATATACACACAAACCTTTTTTGAGGGCATGCACTGACTATGCTATGTATATATAAGCTGTGTACAGATAAATAGAGAAGAGGGGGGGACGGGCAAATAAGTCACAATGATGGATGCAGCTGTACAGTCAAAACCTCTCCCCCTTTTTATGTGCATGTGTGGTGACCTGGAGAGGGGATTTGGGTTCAAAGGCAGTGTGGCCTAGTATGAATACTGCTAGACTAGGAGTGGGGAAACCCAGGTTCAGTCTCCCCTCAGCCATGGAAGCTCATTGGCTGACATCAGGCCAGTTCCTCCCTCTCAGCCCAGGAGCCAATCAGGTCTGTGGGGAAGGGACTGGACTAGAAGCGATGAGAACTGGATTCTAGTTTTCTCTCAGCTATTGGAAACTCATTGGCTGACTTTGGGCCAGTCCTCCCCTCTCAGCCTATCAGGTCTTGTGGGGAAGGGGCGGGACTAAAAACGATGAGACCTGCGTTCTAATTCCCTCTCGGCCATGGAAGCTAATTAGTTGACTTTGGACCAATCCTTGCCTCTCAGCCAAACCTGGCAGGGTTAGTATGGGGGAAATGAGGAAGAAGGAACACTAAATAAGCTGCCTTCAACTTCTCTACAAAACGCTGTATATAACTCAAATAAATAAATACAACTGAAAGTTTTTAAAAATTTCCCCTACAGCTTTCCTTCTAAAATAACATGGAGCCTCCAAAATCATTCTAAGATAAAGAATGGGGTTTCTTTGTGTATGTGGGAGGAATTTTACAAACTGTAGCTTTTAACCTTTTTTAAAAAAATAAATAAATAAAATAAAGTCTTTCCTCTCTATTTTTGAGGCAGCTTGCAGTCATATCAATGCAGCAGACGTGTTCTTTTTGAGAAAAAAAAGCTGGAAGAAGGGAGGAAAGCTTCAGTATAATTGCTCACAGTATAGCCAAGAAGCTTCTACTGGGTTTTTAGCCTTGGTTTGAGAGGTGGGGATAGAAGTGTGACATTTGTGAGCAAATGGGCTGCAGGGTTAGGATTTTGGTACGGCCCTTGGAG